GAAATGACTTGAAGGCACACAACCACAAACAAATATATATAATTACATTACAAAATCCTCCAGCTTTATTCTCTTGCAGCAAACAAACAACAATGCTCAGCATTTTTGCTTTTAGAACAGGAGAAAAAGGTCAAACTGTACATATATCAGCCCAGATGAGAGGGTGCTGAGCAGGTGTCAACACATGAATAACAACGGGGGTGGAGTACATGCTCTTATCCATTTATGAACAAGTGGCAGGTAACCATTCGGAAAATCTCAGACACAACAATCTCATGTGCATCAAAAGCAGATGGAAAAGGAAAATACACATTCTGTTAATGCCATGTACATTCATAAGTTGCACTGCTCAAGTGAAGTGCTGTTATTGTTGTTGTTGTTGTTGTTGTTGTTTAGAACATATAACAGCCATATCCAACTGGCTGTGACATAAGCAGTATTACACATACATGAATATTGCACATGCAGCAGTGCATTAAAGTACACAGAGTAACATGTGAAGGTGCATTGCCTTTATGCATTACCTTTGTCCATTGCATATTGCAATTTTGCATTCAGTTGTCAGCCACGCGTATTAGTCATTAATTAATTAATTAATTATTCCAGAAAATTCTCAACCTGCTTTGACAGGAGAGCCAACTTTACCCTCCTGCAACAAACAATCACCTGCCTATAACACAGAACAAGGTCCTCATGAAGACACTACAACTATAAATTATTTCCCGTTTGAGTGTCATACCTAGTAATTATTGTAGGCATCAAGCTTTTTCACAAAGGAGCACATAAAAGGTGACAGTTCTAAAAAATGCCAACAGGAAAGCAAAATCCAGAGTAGGGATGTAAATCCTTATGTCATCCTCATATTCAAAGACAAATACGATAGTTTCCTCTCCCAGTACAGGTAAAAATGAGTATTCCTCTATGCTGTTCTTTTGGTTCAGCTGGTCCTCTGTATCTATCGATTCTCTATCAGTGGATTCAACCCTCCATGGCTTGAAAATATTTTTAAGATATATAAATTCCCAAAAGCAAACCTTGATCTCGATAAGGGACACTATTTTACTATGCCATTGTATTTGATATCCCAAAATGTGGAGGAATTATTCTGTGTAGAAAAACACCAAGGGGGTTGGGGAGGGGCAAAAAAAATGTTTTCTGTGCAGAAAACAGGTTTGTTGCAAAGAAAACAGGAGATTTTTGCACGCAACTCCTACACACACACACACATACACTTTTTCTTCACTGAGAATATTATATCAACACAGTAGAGTGTTCAAGTACTAGGAGAAAATTGTACACAATTCTCTCTGGTCTATTATGCTTCCTGATAGGGTTTCCTGACTTGTGAGAAACTCGTTTTTCAACCTGGGAAGGAATAATTATAATTATAAAGGATACATATGCTTTCCACTCCTAATCCAGGGCATCTGCTCTCATGATTTCAGGTGCTGTAGGAGTTTTACAAGATTAAATACAGTTTCCACAGTTCAGTCTCATTGCATCATTTAGCAACTTTGTTGCATCAAATATTATCCGGTAATTCTACATGCAAAGTGTGTTGGTGAGTAACCGCTCATTTTTGCTAAATAATCAGATGTACTCTCTCTCCCCTGTCTGGCTCAGGCTCTGAGTCAGCAACAGACAAGATGCCATGAGGGATGTCAGGCTAGGCCTGAAAGAATTACAAATAGAGATGGGGAAACTGTTTCACTATTGTCACTTTCTTTGCTTTCACCCATGGTTCTGTTCGGTTCCATTTCCATGTTGATCTCGGCAGAGAGCCTCCCAAAAATGCACATTGAATTTGTTTTATTTTTAATGCAAATTTATATTCACATTTTCACTCCAAATGCACATTTTTATTGCATGTTTTCTCTCAAAATATACCAGGTAGGTCACTTCGAATACTAAGCTGCAACATACCAAGGTCTTAGTGCTCTGACCATAGCAAAGAAAAGTGACTGGTGGTGGTGATGGTGGTGATGATGATGATGATTTGTATCCTACTCTTTTCCCAAAATTGGGATCCAATTCTGTTTGTGCATGGCAGCACATGACAAGTTGAATTACATGCCCATGTCATTGTTGATGGTGGTGGTGGCGGTGTGCCATCAAGTTGACTTTGACATATAGTGATTATATTCCAGGGTTTTCTTGGCAAGATTTATTCAGAGGAGGTTTGCTATTGTCAATCAGTTAACTTTATTACAGTCTCAACTCAGTCATAAGACAAGACAACCAGAACAAGTCAAGAACAAGAGCAGCTCCAAAGAACAAAAATTCCTCTGTGTGTTTGTGAGGCCGTTCACCAGCCAACCTCTAAATCAATACCAAATAACAACCACTAGAATTAGGATGGACTGTGATGGGGTTTGACCAGCTTGCTGCTAATGGTGCATGCTGACATTCAGATCTTTGCAGCCTTCAACACATATTCTTTAGAGGAATCTAAAAACAGAAGAGAGAGTTATTTTTAATACAGTCCTGGAAACATTTTCACAACCAGAACTATCAGCTGAGAATGTATGTCTTTATAATACAAATAGTTCAGCAGAACATGATTGACTTTTTCAACCATGCCTGACTGGCAATTGCACTTACTTTCCTTTGAGAATGAGAGAGTGTGTCTTGCTCAAGATGATCCAGTAGGTTTCCATGGACTCATCTGCACTGAAGAAATAATGCAGTTTGACACTGCTTTAACTGCCATAGCTCAATGGTATGGAATCTTGGGGTTTGTAGTTTGGTGAAATATTTATTCTTCTGTGTCAGAGAGCTCTTAAACCACAAATCCCAGAATTCCATAGCATTGAGTCATGGCAGTTAAAGCAGTGTCAAACTGCATTGTTTTTGCAGCTGGTTGAGCAGTGGTTTAAACTCTGGACTCCTGGAGTCTTGGCAAAACACTCAAGCCTTACACCACACTGGCTTGATTTACATACATTAAGTATATTGCTCTGCATTTTATACCTATAAGACAACTCATAATTTTTAAAATCCCATCACATACATGGAATTAACTTTTTATGAGTTGCCCTAGAGTCATAACATAATGGTAATCATGCTTTAATTAAATGGATTTAATTCCAAGACACACTCTGAGCTCTTTGTTGTTGCTGTTGTTAGGCATACACCCCTCAACAAACTATAAATGCAGCTGATCACTTTTTCTAATTCATTCTGCTCATCAGGAAAAAAACAGCATTTTGGTTATGTGTTTCCCACCCAAAGAGAGCCAGGCTGGCTCCAACCCCACTGAGTGGATGGTTTTTTGAAAGAAAGAAAGAGAAAGAAAGAAAGAGGAGAATTGCTATTCTGTGTTGCAATTACAGATTTGACCCTAGAGTTATAGATCCATAATAACTGGTCTGTTGGCAGCTCTAAGGTGAACCTATCATAGGGTTTTCTTGGCAAGTTTCTTCAGAGGGGATTCATCATTGATTTCCCCTGAGGTCACCCAGTGGGTTTCATGGCCAAGCTGGGAATCGAACCCTAGACTTCCAAGCTATAGTTCAACATTCAAACCACTACGCCACACTGGTCCATATTCACTATTGTGCATTACTGCCATGGTATTGGTATTATTATAATACTGCCATGGTATTACTGCCATGATAATAAATGCCCTTGCAAACCTATTTTACAGCCGCCACACGAAGAAATGAAGATCTGTCCAGCTGGCAATTGGTACACAGCATGATGACATTTCCAGCCCCATCCCAACAGCAAATGCATCTCCGGCAATCAGAAGAAAGACCCCTGGTGCAATTCCTTGTTGCAGCCTCACTCCCTAGAGGAAAGGGATAGAAACGTCAACCTCTGGTGCCCCAATCACCAGCTGAACAATCTCTGTGTGAAGGAGGTGTTTGTTTGTTTGTTTGTTTGGGGGTGATCAGGGAAGGAGACACTAGTTAGGGTGTATCTACATGTAGAAATAATAACATAGCAATATTTACATTTTATACCACTTCATAGTGAATTCAGCACACTCCAAGTGGTTTACAATCTGTAAGCCAATTGCTCCCAACAAGCTGAGTATTCATTTTACTGACCTATGAAAGGATGGAAGGTTGAGTCAACCTTGGAGCCCCTGGAATTGAACTCACAACCTTGTGGCTGCAGTACTGGCATTTAACCACTGTGCCACCAGGGCTCCTAAAATAATGCCATTTGACACCACTTTAACCTCCGTGGCTCTATCCTACAGGAGCCTGGGATTTGTAGTTTGGAGAGGCACTAGCCCTCTTTGGCAGAGTAGGCTAAAGACCTTTTAAAATTGCAAATATTAGGATTGCATAGGATGGAACTACAGCACTTAAAGTGGTGTCAGACTGCATTCTTTCTACAGTGTACAAGCACCCCAAAATTACATATATGTCGCTAAATATGACATGTAAAATATGGGCCAAGGTTTTTAACCACCTTTATCTACTACACATCACTCTGCACTCACCGAATGGGTTTTCATGGCCGGGTGGAAGATTCAATCTCTGGTCCCCAGAATCATATTTTAACACTCCAACCCTGACAGCATGCTGGCTCTTTTTCTCGGCCATTATGTTCCACTAAACATTACATCTGAGGTTTTTTTAAAAAAGGAGGCTGAAGGAGAGTACAAGAGCTTTTTCCTGCATAGAATTATAGTCTGAAGCATCTGCAGTTCCATCTTCCCATACCCTTTTTGCTGATTTGCATCAAGACTTCTGTTCCCTTCCTCCTCTGCTCCCTACAGTCTTGTGCCAGGAGGCATTTTCCACTTGTAACGCCACTTAAGCATTTCTGATCTGTTGAACCCATCCACCAGCCATTGTTGCAAGCACCAAACAGGTAGGAGTTTACCTAGCACCTGGATTGGCACCGTGCAATGTGGCACCTGTAACCACTTTTGTGGCCCTAAAGCTCTCAACAAGTTTCCCAAAGCCTCCCAAATGTTTGAAAATCTGTGCAATTATCAGGCAAATTATCAGGCAAAATACAAGCATGTGGAAACACATCAAAAACCCACCCCATCCCCACAGCACTGCACTACTCCTAAATATCTCAGTTTTCCTCATCCATCCTTCTAGAAATAATGACATGAAGTGATGCAGTGTCACATCCCATGACCATTTTGAGAGGAAAATGGAGGTACTTGTGCTAGCTGTGAAGTGTGCAGCTGGGGAGTGTGGGGAAATAGATGCCATGATCTAACATTAAAGTAAGGAATACAGGCCTCCTACAGCAACAGAGAAGCAAAACAACAAAGGACACCTCCATCCCTCCTATCTCTATTTGAACCTGACAAACCAAGGAAAGATGTGGGCATGTGCAAGGCAAGTTTATGCAGAGAAATTGCACCACATTGTTCCAGATCACAGGACATGTCTATTTAGGCATTTGCCTTAGCTTTCCATTTTCTGGCTTGGTGAATTTGAACTGGTATGACATCTTTTATACTCTGGTCCTAAGTTGACAATTTTTTTCTTTTGAATCATGGGGAAAGAACCTAAAGAGACCCTTTCTCAATCACACTGAAGGCCTATCTAGTCTTGCACTGTGTTCACACAGCATTTCCAGGTGCCTATGGAAAGCCCAACATTGGGCATGGATGCACTCATGCTCCCCAAAAACTCATACTGAAAGGCTTAGTCTATATTTCCATCCAGCTCTTCCTTCCTTCCTTCCTTTTTCTTTTTCCTTATTTGTCCTCAGTGTTGAAAACAAGAAGGTATAGATGGGCATGGAGAACCAGCAAAACATGATGGAGTATCAGCAAAACATTCCACCCATAGAACTCCCTAAACATAGAGTCCATCCACATATGCAAGACCCTTGCTTTAGTTCTCTTCATGGGATCCATTAGCAAATTATAGTATTGGTAGTAATCACAAAGTCCATCCAGTCTAATACCCTGCTGTGCAAGAATACACAATCTGGACATACGACCATCTGGACTCTGTTTTAAAAAGCTCCAGAGAAGGAGACTTCACCACACTGAGATAGTGAATTCCATTGTTGGATAGCTCTTGCCATCCGGAAGTTCTTCCTAATGTTTAGGTTGAATCTCTGTTCCTGATCCTCCTAACTTCTTAAATACCCCAATTATGTCCACTGGAAAGCAAGCTGCTTGAGGCACTACAAGAAGAGGTATTTCTGAGGGGTTTGGTCATCACCCATTCAGCCATGCCCTCACCAGTGCCACTTCATGGATGCCATTCAGGGATAAGCAATTACCAAGTTCCTTCAACTTCATGAAACCATGGTGCTAAAGAAACAAACTAGTGAGCTAGATTCTTAGGGAGAACTTCTCCCCTTATTCTTTACCCAACGTAGGGAACTCAAATCAAGAAGGATAACAATCTGGAACATGTCCAGAAAGGGGTAACCAACATGATCACAGGTATGGAAATCTAGCTTTATAAGGAATGACTGAGGCAGCTGGGTGTGCTTAACTTGGAGAAGAGAAGATTAAGAGTTACCATGATAGGTATTTTTAAAAATCTGAAGGGATGCCATGTAGAAGATGGAGCGAGTCTGTTTTAAATGCCAAGAAAAGAGATCCCACCTAAACATTAGGAAGAATGTATTTACTGTAAGAGCTGTCCGACAGTGAAATAGATTGCCTTGGAAAGTTGTGGACTCTCCTTCTTTGGAGGTTTTTAAACAGAAGTTGGCAAGGGATTGTTTAGGAGTGCTTTAGTTCCTGCATGGCAGGGGTTGGACTGGACAGGCTTTGTGCTCCCTTCCAGCTCTAAGATCCTATTATTCTAACTGCCATGTGATATTGAGACGACCACTAGCTGA